TCTTACAAAAAGTTAAATGTTTCTTCTTTTGTGCCAAATGCTTTGCTAATAGACACAGATAAAATCCAATATTCTCCCAGAGAATATTGTCACAAAAGCTCTTGTGGGTGACCTTGCCCAGGCCTCAGTCAATATTTTGAAAGAGAATATGCATAGTCTTTGGCATGGCATGAAAATAATGTTGCAAGTTTTAAAAAAAATAGATTTACTGTGCATCTGGGGGATGTATTATATGATTCCTTGAAAGCTGTACACAGGCTTGTAAACAGACTGCTAGTCGCTGAAACTCTTCTCTGTCTGCATTTTTTTTTTCTCCTATAAAACTCACAAGGTGAAAAGTAGCACATACACACCACACTCGTATTATCTTGTCGAACCATCCTGGTGGTGCTCAGCTTCTGCTGGATAGTGCAGCAGACAAGACAGGTGGCTCCAGCTTTGTGCTCAGCAGAGCGAGGCCGGAGAGGAGCTGGCCAGATGGCTCTGTCCACCATGTTTCCTCACCGGTTCCATTTCCACAGTCAGTCTGACCGGAGCCCTTATCTCAGCAGTGTTCTCTCAGTTCAGTGAAAGTCATGGTTCACATGAACGAAGGGGGGGAAAAGAGGGGAGACTCTGATGGTTCCAGCCGGGATCACTCAGGCAAACAAGGAGCCTGAGACAGATAACCCGAATCAGAGGACACACGGGCGATTCAGCTGTCCGGCTCCTCTTTATCACGCTCACCTTTTCCTGTTAGGCACACCACTGTAGTTTGCTGCCACCTTTAACTTAGGATGTTCTGACCTGTATCAGCTGTGGGGTTGAACTTAAGCCCGAGGAGAAGTAAAGCAAAGAATAAAGTCGCCAAAGTTGTAGCGCAGAAACATTCCGGTTTTACACCCAGAATCGACTCCGCCGTCCCTCTCGTGATAACAACACAATCTCAGGTGAGGCAGGGGCTGAAGTTATTTTGCTCCAAGGATAATCTCCTGTTGTTAGTACACATATAGAGATGTTGAGCCTTGAGGGTTCTGAGGGAGAAGCTTGTAAATGATCTTATGTCAACATGAGCCATTTCTAGGTTGTGGCAATAAAGCTTCTGCGAGCTGCCATAAATTTGAGAGATGAGCTTATCAAAAGGTCAGCCCTTTGAGGGACTGGCTTAGCAACTGGATTTATCCTTCGGTTTATTTAGAGCAGAAAAATGGGGCCACAGGCGACGACGGGCATCAATCACACTTCATTGTGATCCTTGACAAACTTGGAAAAGAGCAGAAGTCTTTTTGATTTCTTTTATAGGTAGTTAATGTGCGGCAGTCAATCAAATTTATTTATTTATTTAAGGCTTTTAAAATAACAAACATATTCAGGCACACAGAAGCTATAAATCTTTACCAGTATCTATAAGAATAGTAAAAGGCACTTGTAAATTTGTAAGCCAGTTTGTCTTTGTTGGTGTTTTCTGTCTGATTTCTAGGTTTTCTCTCTCTCGCTCTGCTTGTCCTTCTTCATCTGCCTCTCTTGTCCCTCCTCCCTCTTCCCTTTCTCCCATCTTTTTTTTTTTCTTCCCTTCCCCTCCTCGAGCAAGTTGTTGAAATAGATGCAGCTATGAGAGGACAGTTGTGCAACTGATAGTACTACATTAACCTCGGGGAGAACACAGTCGCTCGCCTGCTCTCTCATCTCTCTTCCACACCAGACAGCCCCAAGTGCAGGACGCTGTAACCCCAGTCCTGCCTCCCGACATCCCTGGAGCTCTGTGTCCTCCCGCTTCATGCAGCCGCATAGCTGCAACCTATCTTCCCTCTGCCATGGCTGAGTAATGCCACGCTAGTCGGAGAGAGAGAAAAAAAAACAAAAAAACAAAACTGTTGTCTGCATCCTCAATGAAAACACGGCCCACGACGCTACGCCTTCTCAACACTTTGTCTTTCACACCTATGTAGTGTCATTGACAATGTCCTCGTTTCATTTAGCGCCTCAGCCTGTGGAGAATAGTCGCACTCTCCCACGCTGCCTGCAATCACTCTTATTTGTTTTATTGAGGCCAGTGTTTGATGTGCATTGCACTTGGGGAGGGGAAAAGACAAACTCAACCAAACACCGAGCGGAAATATGTTCCTGTGAATTCTGCTCTGCTCCTGCTGTCGACTGTTTTTCAAAGATGAAGTGCATATGGCAATGAAAGGGCCAAGTGGAGAGGCTGCGGCAAATGAATTGTGGCATCGCTGCCAACAAGGCAGAGTTCTAATCAGAGTTTGGAGACTTCATCTGGAGTGTTTTCTTTTAACAATGGGATAAAAAATTCACCCTGTATGCTTGCTGGTATTTGGTTTATGTTCTGATGTCTATGATTTATAATATTGTTTTTTTTTTAGGTATTTTGGTTCCATCCCAAGTCAGATGTTCATATTCACTCACTCA